TAATTATCCTGCTTAGCCTGCTTTTCCTCGAAAATGAAACTTAATATTGCGGCTCTGATTTGTTGATTTTGAGAAGGTGAAATTAAATATATGGGAGAAGCCCAGTTATTTGGGCATTAGCATATGCCGGACATATCGATCTGGTTGCATAAATTCCATATGGAAAGCCGAAAAGCATGCAAATGATTAAGTGGCAGAATGGTGGCTGGGGGCAGGTGGCTTGCGGCTGGTGGCAAGTGGCTTATGGGGCAACAACATCAATGACAGGCTGGCAGTGTCGTTGCTGTTAGTTGACCACAAATTTTAAACATTCCTATTGAAATCGGGTGGCGGGGTTGGGGGATGAGCCCTGGGATGGGTAATGGAAAACAGGTTTACCCAAAAGTATGCTCTAAATAATTTAGAATTATTTCAACTGCCACATAGCATGACATGTGACGCTACTAGATCCCCGAAAACATCCTCCTCCATCACCCATCCGCCCTGCTGTCACGTGTAGTGTGTTCCGACACAGCGACAACATCTATGTACGCATCCTGGAAGCCCTTGCCCCTCGGACACTGCAGTTTATCTCTCACTTCATGCTTACATAATTTCCAAAACATAATTTCCCAGTCTGCTTATAGAGAGGAGCCGTGGGTGGGGCGTCGCGCATGTTAATCTCCTGGGTCTTGTTTTGCGTAATAACTGCGTCGGGTTGGGTATTTAGGGACCAGCATTCCTCAAAAGGGTGCCCCCACCTCGCCATTCCCGGCGAAAAGTCATGCCAGAGGCTGCCAGAAGTTGTTAAGCCAAAGTAGTTGCCAAAATTACGAAACTAATTGAAAGTTAAGTAATAAGCATTACACGTTTTCATTACAACTTCCTGTGTATTTTTTAAAACATGCCCCAGACATATCCCAGTGAGACGATATATTATTACAAGAGATTCATCCAGTATTTGACTTGATTTTGTCACAGTGTCGGAAAATGTGAAAGATGTTTAATTCGCAGGAATCCCTTCCAGCTACAGCAGTCCTTTGTTTCTAGCGTTACTCTTAATTCCGCTTCATGCACGACTTGTGTACTTTTTGCCCTTTCGGTTCTATTTTCAGATGGCAGCCTTGGGTGCACTGCCTGGCTGCTGCATTCTGCTCCTCGCCCAGGGACTCTCTATTCTGCGTTCTAGAGCTCGGTTTCTTGGCCACCATTTTAATGAGGAGCTCCTCGTTTAATGCAATGCGCGGCTAAAGCTGCTTAATTGTTAAAAAACAAAAGCCGGCAAGAAGGGTGTGAAAAAAAGCCAAGACCCAAAGCTTACCTTCCAGCCACTCTTGGATCCAAAAAGGCGAAAAGGTTTCATTTCCTGCCAGAAGTCTTAGGGCTTAGCTTTAAAAATAACTTACCATTACAAAATAGAGTGCAAACTTTTCTTTTGAACAAATAATTTTTCTTTAAAATTAGGAAAGTCTACCAACCAACCACTTGCAAGTTCATGAATTTAATTTTGTTGGTTATTGAATCCGTTTTAATTTTGCGATTTCCCGCAAAAGCTATTAACCCACAGCCACCTTCAATGCTAAAAAATAGAACCAAGACGGTGGTTGTAAAAAAACCAACCAAACTGCGCATAAATTAACCGTAAAGCGAAACATTAAAAATCACTCAACTAAGAATGAGCCAAGTAAATAAAAAAAAACAAAAATAAAAAAACCAAAAATAAACGCCAAGACGGGAAAATGTTTGGGAAATGCTTGGCTGAGCATCGAGGCATACCATAATAAGCCAAAACCAATGTTTCAAAAAGTTAGTCCGATCAAAGGGAAGAGTCTGCCAAAGCCAAGCCCAATAGAAAAAGTAAATTCTCCTGAATCAACTAATTGGGTTTCATTCGAATTAAAATTGAAATGCGATTAAAACATGGCATCTGTCACCATATGGGAGGCTTAAATATTGAACTTGCTATGCAACTGCATCCGAAATACATATTCATTAAATAGTGTTCCTACTGAATAATTCTGGCCAGATTTCACATTCATATTGCAGTTAATTAAATACAAAAGCCCTTGGGGGGAAAAATTAATGAAGGGAAGTTGAAAAAATGGCATGTAAACAGTATCTTATTTCTATTTGTCAATATCTTAAGTAACACATACATTATCCATTCATGTAACTCATTTGTCTTTTTTTGCGGGGTTACAAATGGTGTTGTAGAACTTTGACTTTCCACACTTGTTCTATTTTTTCTTCTATTTTTCCATGTTGCATTTTGGCCCTTTTGTGTGTGTTTGGCTGGGTTTCTCTGAGCCATTTTTCTTCGCCGCCAGCAATGATGAGAAAAAGATGGCCACATTTGCGAAATGCGGCAGGGTTCTTCCCCTTTGCCGTTGATTAATAAAGGCATGGCAACATGACATCCAGAATCTTATCAGACGCGTCAACAGAAATGGTTTCGAGGGAAAATCTCCGAGGTATTATGGTTGGCCAAGTTTCCCTCACTCTCAAAGTGCTTTTGCGTGTTCTTTGACAAAATATTCTTTCGTCGCCGTCAACCCGTCAATGGGGCACTTTGTTTTGGACCTTTTCTCGGTGCTGCTGCTCCTGCTGCCGGCTTTTATTCGGTTCCTTTTCTAGTCTGTTGGCCATGAAAGTATTTTGCTCCTCCTGTCATTGCTCGGGTAATTCAATCAATAATTCCTTTCGGCCGTTTCCCTTTCTCGAATGTGTGAAAATGATAAAGGATGTCCTGGACTGATACATTTTCGAGTGTACGAGCATGTATATTGTTAACTGAAACTGGAAACTTTGTGCTTTTCAGCAACAAGTTCAAGGACATTTACTTCTCTGCCGAATGTCACGGCTGAAAAATTTTATTGCCCTTTAAGCTGATAAATCTCAGCGGTGCATGCAAGACAATGTATGCTTTTTTGAGGGGTTACGATTATCGCATACCTCGTTTTAATCGAATAAATACACATTCTGGTAGATACAAGGTAGACCTTCTTTAAAAGCAATGACACACCGTGTAAGAATAGTCGAGTTACGCGACTCTATCTATTGTGAAAAGCTTTTCAGCCGTCACTCGTCTCCTTTGCAACTTCCTTGCTGGGAAACTGAAATTAAAACATTCCTCGTAAGTTGAAAGCATATCTTATGGTTTTTATTGCCTCTTCTGTATCTTGCCGGCAGTTGTAAGTTGGTAATGTCTGTCTGGCATTTATTTACTGTCGCCCTCTGTCGCCCAGTCCCTGAGTTCTGTATCGCCATCTGGAAAATGTGCGACTCTCTTACAGCACTTTAAGTGGACCTCTGACCTTCGGTGGCTAATATTGATGGGTCATAATTGGAAAAGTTTCTGGCCATCATTATCCTAGCTAAGCTTGAGCCAAACAACTCAATTAGACCTCAATTGGAGTTTTTCTTGGGCCATTCTCCGAGAGCTACCTGTGATGGCTTGTAAATCACCAACTAATATCCATTTAAGGTGGTCCTTCCTCGTCTCTTCTTTGTCAAGCTGAATTTTACTAACCTTATTCTTTTTTTGCCCAGATCCAATCTCTCCTTTTCCTCTGAACTCGCCTCGTTCCCTCAGTTTATTTCAATTTTTATGCCCAGCCATGTGTACGGTCCTAAAATTTTATGCGAATTTCTAATTCAATTTCATGTTAACGATATTTTCTTGATTTCCCTCTTTACGCCCGGTTGTCACATTTGCTCAACTTGCCCTGCTCACTTACGAATAATTTGATTTGAGCTTATTTCTTATTTCTTATTCTTGGTGGCTTTTTTTTAGTCAGCAACTAATTTATTTAATTTGCAATTTCAAGCCACAAAGTGGGGTACAAGATGTTGTATTGTTTTGAGCTTGTAGAGGTCTTTAAACAGTATTATATTTTTAATATTCATGGTATCTTCTACTGGGAGAAGGGAAGTTCAAACTTGCAATGACCCAAGCGCTGTTATCTCGTTAAACTCTGCAACATTAACCGCTAATTGTGGGTGCAGTAGACGTCAGCACTCAAGCGGCTCCGCCAGGCACCACCAGACCCAGTATTAACCCACACCCCCGTTCCATTTAACCCATAATCTGGCGGGTCTGGGGGGAGTGAACATCCACTGGCTCCGCTGCTTAGTGAAATTCTATGCCGGTTCGTTATGGTTCACTGGCTAAAGGGGTCTGTGAGCCGCGAATCGAGACTTCAGACTTGCTTCTCGGACTCTGCAACTAATTAATCGCGATTGTCGCTTAAATATTTCTCCTTTTTTTGTCGAGTTTTAATTAAACGTGCCTGGATTCATATTAATGCAAATTTACATTTGCCATATGCTGCTAGCTACCCCGACTACGAGGCGAGGTGGATTGCATAACCGGATGTTGAGCTGGGGCCATGCCACAGACTTCCGCAGCTATTGCCTCAAAATGCAGAACCTCGCCCCTCCTTCCAAATTTGAATGCCTGACTGGTTAGGGATCTCTCTGATGGATGTTGCAGGGGCACTGGGGTGTGGCACGGGATGGCTGAAGCCTCAGTACAACATTCAATCAAATGTCAGGCGGCGATTTTCCCCCGTTCATCGTCTTTTGGCTGCCCCATTTCGCTTTCACGGCTCATTGTCAGTGCAGCTATGCGGGGCTGCGACACTGCGAGTTTAATAATTTCTATACCTTCTGGCTTGGGCTTCACACCCCCTTTATATTGTTGCTTGAATGCTGATTCGATTGAGGTACCCTCGCCCATTAATTTTACCCCTCAATAACCTTAAAGTGGCTGTATTCTTCGGGCCTTGAGAGGTACGTACAACCCCTTCGAACATACAGCCCACTTCAGACCCTACAATGCCTTTTTTGTGTCTTTTTTTGTTCCGTGTAGTTCGGATTTTTTCCCCCCATGACACACCGGATGTTGCGTTTTTATTTACTGTAGCAAGTGTCTTTCGAGAATAAATAATTTATGTACTCACATTTTTGATACATGCCTTCAAAGCTAACCCGCATTCATTTTCCACTCCTTTTCCTTCCAGATGCTGAAGCACGTACAAATCTCGCCCCTTCGCAATCGCTCCGATTCCGTGTCGCTGCGCTCCTCCAGCCACGCCTCCTCCTGCGCCAGCTCCATGTGCGGCAGCCCGGAGCCGACAGCGGATTTGCAAAGGACTCCCTCGCGGGCCTCCAGCTACTCGAGTCTCAACGAGCAACTGCCACAGGTGAGTTTCCTCCCGAAAACAATTTGCCACACGACCTTTCAACTTATGAACACTCTATTTTTGCTCCCCATAGACCACAATCAAGGTGTACACGAATTGCCTCAAGATCGACATTGAGTACAAGACCCTTGGGATCCAGTGGGACACCACCAGCAAGGAGGTGATCTCTCAGTTGCTTAGACGGTGAGTACTCCCACCTCTTTAAGTTAAAGAGCAAATCTTAAAAGTCCCACTCTTCTCATCCCAAACAGCCTCAAGATGCGTCACCGCGACCCGAGACTCTTCTACTTGTCCATGGAGGTGGCTGTCCGCCGGGCCGGAGTCAAGACCATCCTGGTCCTCGACGACGACACCCGCCCGGCCATCATGCAGGCCTGCCACCCAAAGGGCGAGTCCCGCTTCGTCCTGCAACTGAAGCCCGGCGGTCTGATCCGCGTCCACACCTCAGCCCTGCAGCCCAGCTCCCAGTACAAGTCTCTGGTAATCAGCGAGGAGACCACCAGCGATGAGCTGCTGCAGTTGCTCCTCGGATGCTACAGTTCTCCGGAGCCCGTGGAGTGCTTCTCCCTGTACGAGGTTTGCCCCGGACAGGAGTGCCAGCGGAAGCTGCATCCTGATGACCTTCCCCTGCGAGCACAGGCCGAGCGGATGAAGCGCGGCGAGAACTGCCACTTCCTGGTCCGACGGACTCCTAACTACGCCCGCCGCCGCCAGCTGCTGGCCAACTTGAACGAGGCCATCGGGCAGGCGGCCGAGGCGGTAGAGGACGCCACCAGCCTACTGGAGCTATCCCTTGAATCTGACCTCTCCATCTCTGAGGACTTGCACAGCTGCAGCAGTAGTAGCGAGGACCCCGAGGACGAGGACGCAGACGAGTGCGCCAGTAGCTCCGGGTCCTCCGACAACTCCACGGAGTGCACCCTGCGACGCGACTTCTACCCGCGAGTCACTTCGGCCACCTCCACAGTGGCTGTGTCCGTTTCACCTGCCCGGGCCTACAGTCCTGTTTACAACATCCGCGAGATTCGCACCTCCTCGCACTCCTTCTCCTCGCTGGGCAAGGACAAGAAACTGCTGGACATCCACATGAACGCCCGATACGCACCATCCGGCATCTACAACCGACTGATGCCCGTGGCCGAGATGGAGGGCCAGGACATGAATGGCAATCCAGCCGTAAAGCTCACTGCCGAGGCCGTCAACAACAATCCGGCCAAAGGACTCGGCCACTTTGTCTATCTGTAGCACTGGAAGAGATTCGCAAAGGGTCGGATGACAAATGAATACAAAAGTATGAGAACAAAACGAGTACCCTTGGGACCAAAGATGCATTTGTAGTTTAAGCATTTAGATTGGGAAATGTAAATAGTAAACGTAGTAACTGTAGCATAAGGTAATTCCTAGAAGCAAAAATGAGTTCTTATATTAAGAGAGACACGAGAGATTACAGCTCACCTTAGTGTATTGCAAAGAAACCATCTGCTAACAATCCCAAATAAACAGGAGTCTATAGCTAACTGGAATACGAATAAGAATGTCGACAGCTAATGGCTAACATTTGTCTAGAAACCAAAACATGTAATAATAATTAAATCACCTGAAAATTACACGACAATGTAATGTTTTTATTTTCTTTCCTTATGTGTTTTATGGATTCTAGCGTTGAAATAACATCTAAACCAGGGACCGTAATCATTATGAGTTTTATTTAAAACATCACAAAATAATCATTATTTTCTGAGCGAAAAAATAAAAATCAGAAATAATCATTATGTAATTGGAAGTAGCATTCATCGTCGAGGTGGGCTTAAACTTTAAAGAGTCGGCAACCTATGAGATATTTATTTTATTAAAAAATCACAAAATAAGCAACGAAAGCAGCTTTTTACTATCTTTCGGATTGAATTAATTCCCAGTAAACGGTTAATAAATGCAAAACAAATGGCAATTGACCCAGCAACTTTAACGCCCAATTACGACCACCCAATTTTTGCTTTAACCGAGAGGCAGACGGAAATGGTTATATCGACTCGACGCGCTTTCAGATGGAATTATAATATCCGAAATTATAAAACCTCTTTGGTATAAAAAAAACTTACCTTATACATCCGGCCATCCCATAAATAAGACTACAATTAATGCGGTCGGCTACGCAATTTGTATTTTACGGAATGGCTGGTAGAGCACCCGGCTCCGGCTCCAGCACTTCCTCCCACTGTGGCCACGGCTCCGGCTCTCCTGTTGATGGTCTGTGGGCAGGCTTACGGGCAATGATTTACGCAGCACGTATATAATTTCGAGAGCCATAGGCTTTTAATGCTCAAATGAGCTTACTTTACATAATAATCGAAGGATTTTAAACAACGTAAGGCGAAAGGCTTTCGCGGAGCCGTGGCTCTCACTTATGTAAGTGGCCAGTAACGTTCGGGTAACCCCAAAGCGGGTTTGGGAGCCAAAAGTCTCAGGGTCTCTGTCTAGAGAACCTTTTTGGTAATTTATTAGGAAAGGTCGCTCTTGGGCCAAATTAAAAATCAACAAAATTACCCAATCAAATCCAATTTGCCGCATCCTAAAATAATAACTCCTTCGGCAGGAGACGGAGAAGAGATCCGTTTAGGTCGAAAAACAGCAGCTCTGATTTTAAAGCTTGCGGCAAGCAACAAAGTTTATTTTCGTTTTCGTTTGTTCATTTTTTGTAAATTTAAAGTTGAGTGCGGCGTCTAAATTGCATTGTCGAACTCATAAAAAATGCAAGCCGAGTTGAGTTTGTAGGGCTGCTGTTGTTGCTTTTGCTTTTTGCCTGGCCAGCTGTGCAAACGGAACCGGAAATGCTAAACAGGGCTGCTCTGCTGGGCTCTGCTGGCCTAATAACTTAAGCACTTAAGTCGAATTTAAAATTTTCAAAGAAAGGCAAAAGTGGCATACGCCTTTTCCGGCCCTCCGGATGCTGGCCTGCTGGGATGCTGAATGCAGAATTCTGAATGCTGGAATGCAGGTCCTGTCTGCATTTAAATTTCTGCCAAACTTTGAAGGCTGCTACACTCCAGATAACTGCCTAGGTCATGAAGATATTCAAATTGTAGCCATTTTCCTTTGCGCCTGATAGTTCTCTTGGTGAATGCACCGAGCAGTGACCAGCAGTGGCGGATCTAGAATTGCTGGCGCCCGGGGCAAAACGAAAAATTTGCGCCCCCCTCCTCTCTGCTATATGAAGCGTTAATTTTTTTTATATGAATAAAATTCAAAGTATTTTGGGTGTGTAAAAGGTTATATCATCTAAAGCTTATAGGTATGAAGAATTATATTTCATTTTTATTCTTTCGTTAGATGCATCATAAAAATACATTAAATGTTGTGTTTTTGTATGAAAACAAAATATTACTTCTGTAATATAACTTTCCTGGCCTTGGTTGCCGCAAATTCAGCAATAATATCATTGTAATCGAGTGATGCTGCTACATCATTTTCGATGGAAAGTATTGCCAAGTTTGATAGCCTGTCTTGGTTCATGGTTGTGCGGAGATAAGATTTTATTAGTTTCAGTTTACTGAACGATCGCTCTCCAAGAAAGAAATTCCTGGAAATTACTGTTATGACGTTTGCTGTTATGACGTACGTTTCGAGCGCCTCGTTTCCTTGTGATCACATGTCTCGAAACACTCAGCACTTGTGTTAGTGCGTGCCCACGTGCGTAGCGCCGCGGGAAAATATGAATTCTCGAAACATACAGTGTTAGCCGAGCTCGATTTAGCGCCCCTTCGGGACTTGGCGCCCGGGGCGCTTGCCCCTTTCGCCCCCCCCTAGATCCGCCACTGGTGACCAGTGGGTTTGTTCCGCCCCTGAACTGCAAACCAAAACTGGGAGTCGCCCCCACAAATTGAATAAAAATTGGAGAAAAATGTTGGAGAAAAAAACCTACAACCAGGCAAACAGAAATCTCTAGACGAACGATCCATCAGGTGGACCGAAAATGTTTTGATTTTCGGTTTTCGGGCTTTTGGGGAGGCCTTTTTGGGTTTTTGGGCCAAGATGAAAATCACTCTTTGCCAAGAATAAAATGAAAACGAAAATGAAAAGTTTCGGCAAGTTTCATTTGTCTTTCGTATTACACTTAATTTCCTTCATTCAAATTAATTTTAAGAGCACACACAGAGAAGGAACTTTCGGATTGCTGTCGGCAGTTGTCCAATCCAAAGTTGGCCTGTCAAATTGTATGCCACTTTCTGGGAAACTTGGCACTTAACTTTTAGCATTGTGCAAACATGGGGATCAAGTCGTGGTCGAGCGAAAACTTTTCACAATGCCTCGGATATGCACACACTTTTTCGTGTTGTAACCCTACACATGTTTGTAGATATAAGAGCGTACTAGTGCAGGACATCAACAGGCTATCTGGGGAGCTACTATTGGATGAGGATTGAGGATGTACCAAAATAGCTGAGCTTAGTTAGGCGCTTGCTTAATCACCCACGCAACATGGCTATTGGAAACTTACACAAAACTGAATCCAAGTAACAATCTGCAACCCGTTCGACTAATTGCCATAAGCCGTTAGGTAAATTTTTAGCCGCACTACCCCGCCTCCGCCCTGTTATTTTTTACACAGCTAATCGGATTAGGTGACAACCCACAGTCACGCCCACACCGCAACACATCGCCGCCGCCCGTACCCCGGTTGCAAGTTGGCGCTTTGTTGCAATTTAGTTTGAAATTTTTTACTCGAACAAATCGTAATCCCTTCTATGCTCCAGGGCAAGTCTAATGGCTCGAACATTGAAAGCTAATTTCTAATGGCCCGGAGAAATTATGAAGTACTTCCCCCTTCCGGCTCATGTCCTGACGGATTCAAATAGAAAGTTTAGTGTCAATAAGTTAAGCTGCCTGGCTTTCATTAATTAAAAGTCCAATGCATAAATTGCTTGTCCTCATCGCTGGAACACAATGAGCTCTTCAACCGTTTGAGTGTGCTTGTGACGGATTTATTAATTTTATCCAAGGACTAGCATTTAATCATTTAATATAATGGACTTATGTTAAAATGCCATAATTTTCAGCCACGATGACTAAAGTGCAAGGATAATAGCTTCCTTTTCCGTTTCTGAGTTGATTTCAATGAGACTTTGGTGTACTTATTCGTAAAGCCATTAAATTTTCCCCTTGTTTGTTTATCGTATGGGAAGTTCATAAATCTTAAAGTCTTATCTTGAATTCCTGTGCCTCCAATTATTTTTTTTTGGGCTACATGACGGTGATTTATGACAAGCCGCAATATCTCAAGTCGGTCGCTTTTAATTATGAGGAATCCCGCAAAACTGAAATGACTCTCTCGATGCAGAGTCTAGGTTTTTTGTCCTTAAATCCTTTCTTTTTTTAGGGGCAACTTGACACAGTTTATGGATCGCTGTTTGCATAACAAAGACTCGGACACAAAGGGTCAAGGGATAAGAGAGAGACGGACCGTCCAGGACATAACCGGGGAAAACAAATGGCCAAAGCAAACAACGAGATTCAAGAGTTTTTGCCGAGATTTTTGATTTTTAATTTGCGCCAACGTCAGACAATCCTGGTAATTGAGTTTTCGTCCGTCTCCGGGAGCGCTCGTGCTTCCATTTTTCCAGTCCACTGTCCCCAGTCCTCAGTCCCCAGTTGACTTGCGAAAAACCTGACAACCGGAGTGCGAATGTGAAGTGCTGCGCTTAGCACAAAAATTCGACACAAAAATCGGGTCATTTTCAATGCACTCCTCCTCTGTGTGTCATATTTTTTTGTGTGTGGGTTTTATTTTTGTGTTTTTTTGGCAACCACAACGAAGCGTGCTCTCTGGCTGACCATAAAATCATTACCATCAGATATCGACAATGGGCGCTGCGAGGGAGCTGTATAGTAAATAAATTGTGTCTATATATATGCCAGTTCGGATTCGGTGCGGCCGTTAATTTTATTTGGCTTAGCTGACTGATTTCCGCTGTAACGAGTTGCGAAAATCTACCCTGACAAGGTTTTTTGGCACACTGAATGGTAGTTACCCTACAAAGTTGGTAACATATCCTATTGGGAAATATCTAAACATGAGAATCCAAACTATTCTTAGATTTCCTCCTATTCGATTTTTTGTTACTTCAAAAAATATATATTTGTTAAGGCTACAAGTCAATTCAAAAGGGGACCTTAAGATATACTCGAACTTACTTTCCCTTTTAACTACACTACCCTTTGCAGAACTACAAGAATTTTACAAGAAATGCTTACCAAATCGAGGAATAATTTAAATGCCGAAATGATTCTTGAGCTTGATTTATTACTATTATTTTTTCCATGTGAAATCATGCTTACATTAAAATCTTAAACTAAAAACTTGACGAGTTTGCAGAGCCATGCTCCCGGAGATGCATGCAAACATTCAAGCGATAATCAATACTAGGTCGGCTTTTTTTGGCTCCTTCGTGTGTGTGGTTTTTTTTATATCATCTGACTGGGTTCTAAGCGGGATATCTTCGATTCACTGGCAAATCCAATCCATGCAGCAGGCTTCTCAGAAAATCACAATTAAGGGCTACCTATCGACTAAACGGACCAGAAGTAGATGCCATTTATTGGATGGACCGCGTCGCGTCTATGGCCGTCGTCCGAAGAGCTTGAGGGGCTTCCTGCAACAGCTTGGCCATCAAAGCTGCTCGTTCCCAATGTGGGTGGTGTCCGTGGGCAGGGAGTGAGTCTGCAGGGAGAAGACGGAATGGATATTTGCATGGAAGACGATCCGGGGCGTGGGCCGGGAAAAAAAACACTTACCTGCAACGCCTTGCGCTTGTGATGCATCGAGGAGTTCGATGAGGACTTGCCCTTGCCCTTCTTCCAGGAGCAGAGGAGGAGCTCCTTCATGCCCTTGCGAAAATTGCGACTCAGGAAGGCGTAGAGAAGGGGATTTACGCCCGAATTGAAGTACGTGACCAGAAAGGTGAGCGGCGTTAGCAGCGCATTAAAATTGGAATCACCGCGATATGAACGTGACCTGCAAATGCATATACATGGAAATAACTATCTGTCTGTTTATACAACACAATGCGTGTTCTGTGCTTATGCAAATGAGCATCTGTTGGCCAAAACATTGAAACAGGTTCAAAATTTGGTGTCCTGTTTCAAAGTAGATTAGAGGACCCCCGAATATAAAACTTTGCTGGCCAAAAGTATTCCACAACTCTAATGGGATTCCACCCACCCACATTCACCCCACATCATCCGGCACTCTCAAAAGCAACTTTTCCAAAACCACAAGTTTCAGTTTCGGTTTCAGCCAGTTTCATGACTATGATATTCATGAAAATTCAGTTTAAAATTCCGCTAGTGAGTCCCATTAATTATGCAAGAAATGTATTGTCGCAAATTGCCAAGTTCAAATTGGACGGTCTGCAGTCGTGAAAATGGCCAACATATTTAATTATAAATTGCCTTTAAAAGATGTTAAAGAATTCCTTTATTTAGCTCCAATATTTATATTTTTATAAAGGTGATTGCATCTGATTGGATTTCAGCCATTGCAACATCCAATTTTAGAGCCGTACGTTGCATGTCGGAGCGGTCTTGGGAGATGAGCTGTACGTTAAGCCTCCAAACTGGGCAGCCAAAGCTCTACCGCAACTAGTAGTCCTTGCCAGCTTTCGTTGAACAAAGAAAACACTGCGAGCCAACTGTCAAAATGGCTGCATTTATTGTTTGTTGAAAATCCGCCTTACAGTCTCAAGTGCCAAGTACCAAGTGCCTTAAGGTCACTTGTGGCCTTCGTTTTGTTTACGCCACCACTTCAAGTCCTTTTGCCAATTGGACGCCACAACTTTCCACTTTCCACATCCGAACTTGAGTTTCGATTCGTTATGGCGACGCCATATTTAAGCCCGGCTCCACGGGGTGGCCTTTTGGACAGCTCCGGTGCCTTTAATGAGCCGCAGTCGGCCACTGGCAACTGGCAACTGGTGCAGTTATTACCACAATATCTCTCAACTGTCCTGGCCCCATTCAGACGGCCTTAAGCCAGATGAAAACGGTTTGTGAGCTAATAATGAGCACATGTCACTCACTGACTGGCGGCGGACCTAGTCGCATTTACTGATTTTAGCGGCATGGTGTAATCCAATTGCCGGCACGTGGCAATTACTCGGCCGGCAGTAAGCCTCCACTCCACTCCCACCCACCAATCTCATTTATATGATTATGTCACTGAGGGAACATCTAAAATTAACCATCCGCCAAGGACCTCTTAAAGATGCAAATAAACTGGACGTGCGACAACAGCCTGGACTGGGGCATCCGAATTGACTAATTGCTGACTAGCATTTTCCATTAGGCCAGCCATTTGTCATTGTTAAGGTTTCAGGTTATAAGAGCTCTCTACTTAGTGCCAGGAACAATAATTAAAAAGTTTCCACTTGCAGATCTATCACGCCGCACATTTGGCAAGCACTCGGGAAATTTATTCAAATTTTATTCGTTCTCTGCAAGAAAAATAGCTGAAACGCATTTCTATTTCCGACTGCAAATTGCAGTTTGCATCAGAAAACTGTGTAGATGTGTTGCTGGCAAATAGATTTGATTTCTTGAAAATAACAAGATGAAGTATCTCCGCCCACACAACAACACTTTCCTGTCAGTGCCATAATTGAGATTTATATACGAATTGACTGCCGGGCCGGGACAGGCAAGAGTTGTTTACTTGTCTGGTGGAGGGACTCCTCCGATTTGGCCATATTTAACAAATTGGCCTCTTCTTTCAATGTTTATATTACGAGCTGGATGTCGTGATTTGTTTGGATATCAGACCGGCTCACTCAAATGTCTGTAATCTGCCACATAATGGCCACGTTACAGCAACCAAGTCCCACTCGACCGGAACACAAAAGGAATAAACGGACGGAAAAAATACGAGATATACGGCGAGATATTACGATGCCGACAGATGCCATTCGTGCGTAAGAGCACCTCTCATCTGCCATATAGAATTAAAAGAATTTTAAAACCTTGTCAATTTTTTATTAAGCTATTTGTCACACACGTCCCCTGAATAATAAAGCGACTGTGGGTGGCTTACATATACGCGATTCGTATGAAAGTTTACTGCATCTGTCCAATTTATTGGGAAAATTTTTTCGAAAACGAAGAATTCAATGCGTCCTTGTGTAATTGTGGCTAATGGAATTTTTACTTTTTTGTTCCCCTTTACCGAGTAAGCGATTTCCAGCAATAAAAAGTATAATTAAGGGCAATTCATGATTCGAATGACACTCGCTTTTTTAATTCCTACTTGAATAAATTTCTTTAAAAGAGAATTCTGCTCAGTTAACTCTTTTGTCTGCCCTGTAAACCTATCAAACAATTTAATTTCCATATTTATTTTATTACTGTTGGTCTTAGTTTCGAACTAAGAGGGGTATAAATTTAGTTGAACAAATATTTGTTGCTTGCCTTGTAGGAGAAAAATTAGCAGAATAATGTATTCAGCAAACAGACTCTAACCAGCTAAGGAAATTAATGTACCAAAAAAAAAAAAATACCAACACTGTTACCTTCATTTTCCATTATTTGACTTTATATTCAAGTCCTAATTTGTATTCCTAATTATATAATGACATATATAAAACCTCCTAAATATGCATAAATTATTTTATTTTCTGAAACTGATAAGCCGCTTAAAAGTTTGCCAAGTGTACATTATTATATTTAAAGCAATTAATTTCGTCCTGAAGCAAACAACTCACCCACACCCCCGCCTGCTACCAACCAACACCCACCGCCCTGGCAATTTTCAGAGTCCGCCCACGAATTAAGCTTACACCAGATAATTGCGCCCCAATTCAGTGCCGCCAAACCGAGTCGCCACTTTTCGATGCCACAACGGAAGCGGAACTACTGCTGCTAAAAAGCAAGTGAAATTTAACATCTCCAAGAGCCGGGCTTAAAGGTCAACGCTGCAGTGGGTAGAAATTCAACTTTGACTTGAGAGATCCCATTAAGAAAAGGGGAATGTGTTTTAAAACCACACAAATTGGTAAAATGAACAAAGCCACTATTATTTCATTAAAGTATTAGTTGAGGTTGTGTGGATTTTCATGTATGATGTTTATTGGAAAATAATAGGATAAGTAAATATTCAAAACTGTGGATAAAAAGGCTTGGTAGAACAAGATACTGAATTAATTTTCACCACATATTCATAAATCGTTTTAGACTTTTAGAAGTTTAATGGAAACCACAACATCAAAGCATATTCTAAAAGTCTTGTAGGAAGTTTATTTTACGTCGCGACTTTACTTTTTAATTTAAATGAAAACTTTAAAACGCGTTTAAAAATGCCATTAAAATTAAAAACCGTGGCTCCCCTGTGCCTTTTTAAAGTTATGAATATTGTGCTCAAAATTGTTCAGTTAATGTCTTAACACTTTACCTTTATTGGCCACAATTTTGGGTGTAAACTCACCAGTACTGCCACATTTTGCGTGCATGATACGGCAAATTGCAGAGAGCGAACGTCAGCACGAATATTATCAGCATACGGACGACGCCGCGGCGGGCACGCAGCACGTTGCTGGAGGAGTGGGACATGTGGGTGGCTCCGGCGGAGCCCACGCCTCCGCCACCGCCACCGCCGCCCCCGGAATGGCCCAGCCGCTGATGGTGGGCGTGGTGATAGAAGCTGGTCTTGCGGCAAGCGCTCACAATGGGACGATCGGCCTCCAGGGAAACCTGCGGATATTAACGGGTAAAAGGTCATTGGATTAATCATTAGAGCCATTCGAGCTTAAAGGAGCATTAGCCTAGGCGTGGGGGTAGTATATAGCATAGATATAGAGATGCACCTACCTTGCAATTATCAAGCTAATTTGTGTTGTGTGTGGTTGTGGTTTTGGTGGGTTAGTAGAGTGTTGGGGAGAACCAAACGGAGTTATTGATCAAACGAATCGCAGAAAGAGAAAGAATTTAACGGAAAGATAGTTAAAAAGTTGTAGGTGGATCAAGGCCAAGAGGGGAAAACCCATATACAGTATATATAAAGATAAAATATAAATGTAATCCGTATGTATGGGGTTATCAATGTAAGAGGTGACTGGTGAGAAAATGCATCATTTTTTATTATTTCAGCTTATGGAACGTGCAAGTCAGTGTCAATTTCCTTGGCCAGCAAATACCCAATCCACATGGCCAATACCATTCGATTGCTGGTCTCTGAAAACTTTCGCCGTCCCTTGGCACTTTTCTGGATGATTTGTTTCAGTTTTCATCTTTCGACCAACTGTCGGGCAACTAGCTCCATTTTCGGTAAGGTCAGCGTTATTTTTAATGTGCATTGACACCTGCTACGGTGACCAAACCGAGCCATTTCGCCAGCCACTTCTCTGGCAAAACTTTCGCGAACTAAATTTCCCGGAAAACTTTTAATGAGCAGGGAATTTGTCAAGCCCGCTACTTATACATAATACATTATCGGTAACTGCTCGAATTATGACATTTCCAGGGTGCCAGCGTGGCCCTCCACATCCTAAATCAAATGGTGTCTAAACTGCTTTTGGCCCTTAATTGCTACAGCTGCTCCCTCCAACTTAAAGTATGTTTTCTCCAATTGTGACTAGGAATTCGGGTGAGAAAATTCTTTATTCATGAGAATCGATTTGCCGAAGTACGTAATGGGCTTTGTTTTATGTCCTAAGGGTATTAAATATTTAAATTTGGTACACAAGTTGGCAGAGTTGACAGTTTAAGTAAGTGTTTCCTGAAGAGTTTAAAATATCTAAAATTCCTAGAAAAAGCATTTTACATTTAAAATGTATTTAATTTTCTTTTATTTAAGTTGAACTGAAATCCATCGTTAAACTTTGATGGTTTTTTTTTTGTATAGTAATATTTAAAAAAAACGTTTTTTAAACGACCAGCAGACAAATTTTAATGCATTTTCATTAGTTTTTTTTGACTTGGACCCTAAAAAGTACTACTATTTTAATGAAATGATACCATCACAACAAACTGTCAACAAAAAACTTTTATTTGAATTTTTAACCAGTGGATAAGGTTTGCAAAAAGGCAAGGAAAATGGATTTCCAATCACCAGAATAATTAATACTCTTTGAATTTTCATTCCAAAACTTTTGAAAATATAGAAGAATGTAATAATATGATTCTCAACTTTGAATGGCTTACAATACGAACTACAAAGCTGTCCAAAAACCTCTTTTGCTTCCGCTTGACAAATTCCAACTCTGAGCAAAGAGTGACCTATTTTTAGCCGTAAAATACTATTGTGTTGCTTTGGTTACACCTTCTTTTTATGCAGTAATTTTTTTTAACATATTTTCCTTAGTCGCTCGACACACCCTACCCTTTTCTTTTGGAAGTATTGTTTTCGTGGAATCTCACCTGACTCTCTGTGATGCTGACGCCGCGCTTCTCATATTTACTGCTCTGTTTACGTGACAAGGACGTGGTGCTGCTGCCGGCGGAAGCGAGTGACGAACCACCGCCTCCCATACCCACAACCACACTCCCACCAGGGCCGCCCGTCCCCCCCGCCAAGCTGCCACCGCCCCCGACAGGTGCCGCTGAGGTCGCCACTGGGGCCGTCGATGGCAGCTGATGGTGCTGGTGTGCGTGGACATGGTGGTGCTGGTGCTGATGATGGTGGTGGTGATGATGGTGGTGGTGATGATGGTACATGCTATTGTGCATGCCCATGCCATTGTCCTGTCCAGATTGCTGCTGCTGCTGCGGATGCTGTGCCACATGGGGCGTAAGACCGCGGGAACTGCGCCACAAAGCAATGGCGATTTTGCTGTACAGTACCTGCAATGAAATGCATTTGCCTTAATGTCATTTAACAAATTAAAAGATAAACTCAAGGTCTAATTCCCATTTGTAGGCCACACATCAAGAATAAAAGTAAATTAAATTTATTTCTTAGGGCATGATGTCCCGAAAAAACTCTGAAAACGGACAAAGTAATTGAGTTAACATTTTTTTGAGCACTTGGAAACGTTGGCGGACAAGTTGGACTTGTAAAAATCCTCTAAATCCTATAATACCCAAAACATTTTCAAGGGGCTTAGGGTACATATTAGTAATCTGACAAGTTTCAATTTCAGCTTTCGAGCCAGGCAATAAATATTGTCCATGTCCTTCAGCAATCAGTTAGTTTTAAAATATACGTAATACTTACTGTCATCACCAGTAGAGGCATCACGTAGAGCAACACAAAGTTGATCATGTCCAGCAGCTTGGAGTTGAACATCTCCCGGTCGAGAACACAGATCTCCTCCTCCTGGCCGTCCTGGGTGTGGATATTCTTGATGGTTTTGCTGAATACGAACTTCGGGGTCGAATACACCGCCGACGTTATCCAAACAGTAACAATGACCATCTGAAAGAAACAAGCCTTAACAAAACACAAACCTGACTGCCAAGCACGCGAGCAATTTGTTAAATTGCGAATAAACACACAAAGTTCGCGTTAATATCTATCATTTAGTCTGTTGACTTTGTGTTTTGTACCTTCATTAGAACGCATTTACATCAACAATGGCGTTTTAAGTTTTCAAAATTGTACAATTTGTCTGCCGGAATGTGTCACAGGACTCGACAGGACATAGTCGGTCGTTTACTTCATACCCTAGAGCAGGGAACAATTTTTTTGGCAGCCATAAAGTTAAGCCCATGGCTTAATAAGCCTTTTTAGATTCAAAAGCAGTATAATTTTTGGGTGCGTTTACTTTATTTGGGGTCGGCCTTTAACAACTTTTATTGGCTTGCAAATGAAGGTTTAAATTAGTTTTTTTTAACTTTTTGGCAAGAGACTCTTGTTGGGTTTTAAATTAAATAAATTTTATAGACCCATTCTGGCAGACTTTCGGTAGCTCTTACTTCCTTTAATAACTACATACATACATATATTATAAACTTAATCATCTAATATTTACCCTTAGACGTGCCGCAGTCAAAATCTGCTTGCAAGTTATTGGATGTACGATGGCAAAGTATCTCTCCATGCAGATAACCACCAAGATGAATATCGAGGCTGTGTAGCTCAAAGAGTGGACAAACTGGTACATCCGACAAAGAAATTCCCCAAAGACCCAGCTGAAAGGACCAAAAACCCCATAGGGAATTAATAATTATGGATTGGTAAAAGTTTTTCTCTTTAAAGAGTGACATTCCCCGGCAACGCGAATTCAATGGCAGACCCATAAAATTTTACGACATGCCAACGAAACTAAATGTGGCATTAAGGTGTCATTAGTATTTTCGGTGCGAAAAGCTTTTTTGGCATTTTTATTTTATTATCGGATGAAATTACATTTAAAAAGGCGACGGATCATTGTATTTTGGGATTAGCACGTAATTCTATTTGTGCGCAGCATCCTTCAGAGGAGGTTTGGGGTTTGAGGTTTGAGGGGCGTAATGGCCAAAAATTTCAACGGTTAAGTGGTTTTATTGCGGTTTCTATTTTACTACATCGGAGGCTGTTAAATATGTTGAGTTTGAAACAAAAAATATATAGCTTTAGGGTTGGCATTAATACTAATTCTTTATATTTAAGAGAAACAAGGTTCAACCGCGACGTCATTTATCAGCATTGTTAGAGTCTTTAAGGACTAGAAAGGTTACGAAACATCTAAATTTTCTTCTAAAAAGCTACTTGATTTACGAATTTGTGGCAAACCAAATGAACTCAGCCAGATACAAAGTTCTTTATTAGTTATCCTTGTGTGGGAATATTATATACCATAAAATAGTGTCGACTGGGAGCTCCTAACTAGTTTTCCCTCGCCTTTTTATAAATTCGCACGTCGCAGCAACGTGTTCGCAAGAAAGCAACGAAACAATGCAAATAAACACTGGGGTAGGCGAGTGCGAAGGGGTCAGGTGAAAAACCCGAATGTCGACCAGAAAATGCACACAGGAAAGTACCGCCTGGGGTTTGATACTTTTTTTGTAGCTGTGTTTTTTTTTCAGTTTGTGGCTGGGGCAGCAACATGCTGCTGCATATTGCACAGTAAAATGTTGAATTTTTGTGCTGCATTCTTTTGGGCGCAAATGTCTGACAGGCATGTCAGACGGCGACAGCCTTTGAATAATAAATAGCTGGCAAAACATATTTCGCTCTCAACGACTTCATAATGCTCTTCATTCAATCACTCTGCCTTCACTTAAAATGACAAAACAGGAGCTTTACGGTTCACTTTCCAGAACAGTACTTAATGTTGCATGAAAAAGTCGGAGGATCTCCTGCATTGAAAATCAAAAGAATTGTTTATGCTCGCTTGCATTGTTGTCCTCCCGTCGTGCATAAAAGGACTTTAATAAAATAAACAAGCTGCACACTTATTTGTTTATTTTTTCACTCACCTGTCTATGAGATAGATGGACAGGTTCTGCATCACACAAAAGAGGCCGACACAGAAGTCCGCAAACGCCAAGTTGGCCAAAAAGAAATTCGTGATGGAGCGCAGTCGCCGCGATAAAGTGACCACCAAAATGACAAGCAGGTTTCCTGGGAACATAAAAAAATTTAAATGCGAGTTAAAACAGAAACAAGGTTAGAGATACTTTTTAATATTTTATTTGGCTAGAAGTATAAACATTCGACTATATCCGCTCTGTTGTTCAACAACAACTTCATCCTAAACTTAAAACAAACAAGGCCCTTATTCCAAAAATAAAAACAAATCTATGAGTTGGCTAGAGTGTTTGATTTCGAATTTCTTCCTGGCACTTGAAGGTTTTAATAATAAATTGTGCCCGAAACAAACGAATTATTTGAACCTCACACACTCTCCAGCCAAATGTCAAGAAAAACTTTTTTAATTACAATGGATAGTCAGAGGCACGAGAAAACAACCAAACAGAAACAAAAACCAAGCGATAGCTGAAAAATAAAATATAAAATGAAAATAAGAGAAAATTTTTCACAACTTGAACGCGTGCTCGGAAATCCGATACTAAAAGTGGAAAGTCCAGAAGGCTTTTTCTTAGTATGTATCGTATGTATATTGTATGTGGCATCCGTGTGCCCTTCACTCACATATATTTTGGAAGAAAGTTTTCAATTTCATTTTATTCTTAGCTAAGTTAGCTGGAATCTAAGCCAGGTTAGGGCGGTCTACTCTTTAACTTAATCAATGTAATGAGGGTTCTAAGGACTCACACATGCTATAATCAATTGCCTTGTATTAATATTTGGCATTTGACCTACTAACTAATTAGACAGTCAATTTCCATCAATTAGTGGCCATCTTCCGAACACTTTGGTCAAGACATGCACATAGGACATGCTTCAAACTTGGCCAACTAAATGATTGGTCAGACAATTCCCATCAATTAAACGTCTTAAAAACAGAACAAGGATTAATCCAATGGACGTGATATGTAAATTAAGAGCTTTGAATTAAATTACATTAAAATGAATGGGAAATTAGATCAGTGGAGCCGAAATGTCATGGATGGTAAATTAAGTATACGCAGAGCTATCTTTAAGCGATGTCCGGGGGCAGAGCAATTAGTTGAAGAGAATCCCTAAGCATACACACATTGGGCCAACACACAGCCGGACAATACTGGGAAAATGGCAATAGAGTGGTCTGTTCCACAGACAACATCCAACAAACAGCCAAACAGAAACTTGGGACGTGATTGCAGCATGCTAATTTTATGGGCGACTGTGTGGCATGTGTGGCACTGCCCCGTTCCGCCCACAATATCCCCCCTAATAGCATCCGCAGCCCCTTCGGCCAGCAACAGTGAATAAGTTGCCTTCATTTTGCAATTGCCTGCACATTGCAATGACGTGGTTGACATTATGTCTAATGGTCGGCTATTTTGAGCCATTTGTAGCCATTCTGTATGGTGACCAAACACGTTCCCGCTTTCATTGCTCCTCTTTCCGTCGGTGCGGTTAATAAAGTCGCATTCGACAATGCCCGAAATGGCTCCTAACACCCAATCATACAATGTAATTGATTTCGAATGTCTGGCCCCTAGTACGCCCCGGCATTTTCGGGATAAAAGTAGCTTTGTTCAAATGCTACAATTTCAGGCTTTTTCAAGCGAACAAACGCCAAGAGGAGGCCTTGTTATGTGGCATACGTTATCCTACAACAATTTCCGCAGGCAAAATCATTCATACTAAATTATCATGGCCTATAATAATTATTTCCGCCTCACATAATCTTTTACAAATGATTTCTAAATTATTTCAGGCACTCCGGAAAAAGATCCGATAGTAATTGGAGAAAATGTTGACTAGGTTAGGGGTCACATATGTATGTATACTACTCTTTTTACTGAACATTTGGCAAATATATGGAAATGGCATTTTGTGGCCAGAAGCATTGCATGATAGCAGAAATATCAGGAAAAAAAATTATTTTAATCGAAACGTACATATATATTTTTTTAAAGTAAGGTAAGGTATTGAAATTGGCAATAATATGGATATAGTTAAGGGCCATTTACAAATAAACAAAAATATTTTAGAAGCTTCATACATAAGAACCCTATTATAATCCCTTTAAAATAAAGGACATAAACTTAAGCCTTTTCTCTACAAATTTCCAGTCTGTATAGTGTTCATTAAAATTTGTAAACTCACCGAAGAAACAACAGCAAAAGACAATCGAGTAGAGAGTTATGAATATGATGCGCACATCGGTGCGGTCGAATATGTATTCGCTGGCCTCCTCTTCCTCCTCATCCTCGAAGTGCTCCATGCCGACTCCAGGGAGTCCTGTGGTCTGGGAGGACACAAGGTCTGTAGTGCTCTCACCGAAGAGTATTGAATAATCGGTGTCGTTTGTGTAGACGCTGGATGCCGTGGATGTAGTAGTAGATTCATCGGCAGACACTGCCAGAGCGGCAATGAAGAGGAAGCCCAGGACCAGGCCCGGAAATGAGTGGAACCCAGCGGAGGACATTCGCGGTTTCTGCCCAGCCAAGGGGCGGGAACGTTGCGGTTTGCGCTGTTGTGGAGCGGAAGAGCTAAAATTTGTTGAGATGCCATTGATAGTGTTGGTTTGATTATGCAACGCCTCCATGCTGCCGTCTTTATTATCGTCGCCATCTTCATAAGCCGCTGATATGTTTACCCTGTCACTTTGGTGTCGTTGTTTATGCCGTTCTCGTTGTGGTAGCTGCCTCCATGTTGCATTCGCATCCTGTTGCCAGGACATCAGTGTTGTCATTATCATAGCAGTGTGATATAATTAAGTGTAGCTGCAAGGGGAAGTGCATATACGAGAGTTAGTTCCATAGAAAGGATCAGATGGTGGTTGGCTTTAAAATGGCAACAGCATATGGCCTCGTTTTAAAGTCTAGTGCTTTAAAGTTATCATGGTTCAACTAAAGTTAGTGACTTTTCTTGGCTAGGTACCATAGCATAACCATGGCCCAAGGCTTTTTCATTTCATTGACGGCAAAGTCACGTCTCAAATTCAGAGCCTGGCAATTACAATCTGCCTTGCCTATAGAAATATGTACAATGTACATCCCCAGATTCGAACACACTTTTTAATTAAGCTTCCCTTTTAATGACGAATATAATTAAAGACTTTGTATCTTATTGAATGGTTGAGGCTTGTATCGCTCCCAGAATAGAAATTATTAATTTAATTTGCATTCAGATTGTTTTGAATCCCCTCCCTTTGACAATGGGCTTGGCTTGCTGCCGGTTTCATGCTGTTTTTAATATCCACTAAGCCCGGCTGCTAATTACACAAATGCAAGTCACATAATCATTCCCCGCCCTTTCGCTTTGATTATTGCTATCTGCGATGCTGTGTGTGCAATAGTACAAATATGCACTCACTAATGACAACACAACACTCTAAAGTTACGCAAACAAAACGGCTGTCAAGTAATTAACGCTGCTAAATTGTCATTTATCCATGTACATGTTCAAGTGCCCTAAATTAGAACACCATGAATAATTTGCAGCGAAACTATAAAATAAATGTGCACAATTCCCTGGAAACATATTAGATTCAAGGGCATTGCATTTAGTTTAAAAGCTTGCATATTTATTTTAACTTTTAGGGATGATGCAGCAAACTTTTTAATATAACATATGAATAGTACGTCAAAAAACTAAGTACATTTTTATTTGAAAATTGCCAGCTTTAATTTCAAGTGCCGTGCTGGTAGTGCGCTTTTTTGTATAAAAAGGAAATAGATGTCCTGTCTGTTCCCATGTCAAAATATCCTTGCTGCCACGTATATCTAACATCAAGAGAAATAGGAAAAAATACAAAATATTTCGTACTTCCTCGTTGAGAGACAGGGCAACCCAATAAATGGTTAGACATCTAAGAACGTTTTTTCAGCACTTTTTACCCAAAAAACTTTTCCTCTAAAGTTTTTCCTTCAAAAGGCTATGCTAAATGCACTATTAGGTATTTTTTCCAGCACTTTTTCCAATTGAATTTTTTTCGGAAATTGTAGGAATTTCATATTTTTTGCTCACCGAGCTCACCGTCTCCGCATGTCGTCACCCGCAACTAATATCAAATGCAGGTGCTGCAAGGATGTCGAAAGATGAGACAGAATGGCTTGGATATGCACGTACATGAACACAAATTTGCAGTTTCACCTCTGGGCGCCCGGAATTCGCCTGTTTTCCGTTTCCTTTGCATTTTCAGAGGCACAGGTAAGTGCAGAAGTTGCTCACAACAACGGGATTAGTTTGCGTTTAAGTGATATTACGTGCCCGTTGAGCTCGTGTCATCTCCAGAGATTTTTGTTGGAGGTATGTACGAAGGTGAAGAGTGAAATTGGCACCCGCACTCTAGACACATCCTCAGGCGATGCACACTAGTCATCTTTGCATTCTTGCACTCTGAAGACTTTAGTTTTAAACTAAAAAGTATATTTCTAACACATTTTTTTTAAGATACCAATTTTGTGGTCTAGACTGACATAAATTGAAGTATTTCTATTCAACCTTCACCTGTCAAGAGCAAATTTTTCCATTTGCCCACCACGAAATACGATTCGACACAACGATAGAAAGATATCCTCTTGTCACTTGCAGGAAATCATTTCCATGGAACTTGAAAATATTTGTTTTGTTATTATATTCAATTGTTTTTATTTTTTTGAGCACCTGCTTTAAAGCCCGAATTAAAGTTTTTGAATAGTTTTTACCATTAGGCTTTAATAAAGTTTTTCAAGATGACTTTTACACAAGTCTTGCTGCAATTAATAAATTCATTTCCATAAAAACGAAAAGTCCTAAATAGCTAACTAGCTGAGATTTAAATAACTACTAAAATGTAAATTCCAAACCGTTCAGCTCCTAGACTATCAACATAAAAAACTTTACCTGTTCAACTATTCCAGTTTGGAAGGTCCTACTGCCTTCCGCCAAGAAGTTGATGGCCAGAAAGTCGGGTAATTGGAAAGGCGAGGAGAGATTGTCGCGCTGTTGGCACTTCCGGAACGGAAATTGCTTGGCGTTTTAATGAGCCAAGTGGCTCACAGTTTGATTGTGTGTGTCTGGGCCACTAAGGAGCTTTCAGTCTGCAACAAATGAAAGCTGACGTCTGTCTGGCTTTAAGTGTCTAAATTGATTTCCCTGATACTTATTTAATTAAAACCAGATGCATGTGCACTGAGAGTTCTAGCTCTTGTTGTTGACTTTTCTCGAGGCAGTCCCCCACCGAAGCCGTATTTAAGAAATAAACAAGACAGCAAATGATTGAAAGGAAATACCCTTCATACTTCACTGAATAAAAAATGATTTTATCAATAACCGGACATATTTTTCCCCCTGTGTAAGCTTCTCTTCATGCTGAGGTGTCAAAACACAAGGTGCAGGGTTAGAAAAGGTGCAAAGGTGAGAGTAGCGCGTGTGGGTCGTGACCTTCGCTACCTTTGGCTCGCCGCTCGTCCTGCAATTGTTTGTGAAAAGAGTATGCATTGAAAACTTTTGTTTGTCTGCTCAGTGTCAAGGAAGTGGGCAGAAACCACAGTGGGTGGGTGGAAGGACGAGACGGCTCTACTCAGACGGCAGTGGGCCATGTTATTGGAAGCCAATTTAGCAGACAACATCACTGACTTGTAGAGCCGTGCGACCAATTTGTGCAATAAAAGTGCTGCAACAAAAGCCTCTGGCCACTCGTGTTGCATATTTATGGGGGCATGCGATTTATGTGCCTCGGATGGCTGAAGAAATGCTGGAGAACGGCTTAAACGCCAATTGGAAATCGTCTTTGCGCGACAATTTTCAATAAATTTGCATTCGGCTGGGGTGCTCTGAAAATCACCCGGGTCGCCCGACCGACCACCCCCTTTCCATCAACAGCGAATAATTTATGACCAGTGCTCCTCGTCGCAGAATCCACGGCCAGGATGGGGGATCCGGGTCGGATTGGTCGAAGATTATGCAAAGTTTTTTTTCTTTTTTTTGCGACGCCTCTTCATGACATTTCCAGCATAAAGTTCCCAATTGAAAGGCCCCCGCTGGCGAAATTCGCACGAGCAACTTTTGACTTTGGGGAATATCTGAAAGTTCATTTTTTGTAGATCTGGTTGACTTTTCCCCCGAATTTCCCACATGTATGGACAAATTGCAACCGATAGCGATACGCACGAAAAGCACAAGCTTGAGATGCAAAGAAAATAAATAATGTGTATAGAAGTATCTCTATTTCAATTTAATAGTTTAAACTTTAAAGTTTAATGGTTTAAAGCCTCTGGACAACGCTCGATTGCAGCCACACAATTTAATTATTTTGGTATAAAATAAAATGAGCCCCAATGCAGTTTTCTTTTAAGGCCCAAAGCAAAAAGAAAGTACACATTGCAGCTGGCCGGATTGCAAACAAAATTTGGGCGGTTGCCATTGCACTTTTTTTTACGGAAATTTATGATCATAGACATAGCCACAAGCGAAATAAATTTAAAAATCATTAGGAAATGCAGTTGCAAGCACATGTGGGCCCACCCACAGAGAAATCGTTTACTTTTCAAGGCAACAAAAAATTTTAAAAGCTTCTGTCCGAATTTTCCTTGAACATTTCGTCGCTTCACTTTGCTCCTTTCTCTGCACGAGCTTTTAAAATTTAAAGCCTTACTTGGAATGAAAAATGTGTAGACACAAGATGCTTAAAGTCAGCCTGATAAATTGTCTTTAATTATTTTAATGGAGTATTATACTTTCTAGCTGGAGCTGAATTTAATATAAATAAAGCAACATCCTAAAAACTTATCTTAGCGAAAATAAAGGCTGTTTGAAGTGAGTGAGTGAAGAGAGTAAATGTTTTTAAAATACTAAAGGGTATCAAGACTCCTAACCCAACTACAAACTTTCGTATTATAATAAGAAATAAATGCAGAAAATATGAAGGTCATTCATCATACTCAAATGATGGTTGGTGAGCATCAGCCGCATAAATATTACATTATAATTATGATGGCCAGACGACTTGGGTGAGGTGTAGGTGGAAAAGTTTTTGCTGGAAAATTAATCAAGCACTTGGAAAAACAGTAGCAATTCTGAAACGACTTTCGGCCATTCATTATTTTGAATGTCGTCGTCTGGCGGCACTAGAACAAAACTTTTCCAACCGACCAACTAATCGAAGACATCAAAAACAAAAAATGGACAACAGTCCGACGCGTCGAAACCCATAAAGTCGGAATGCCTAATAAAGTCGTTGGCCGTTGCAGAGGAAAGTGACTTGCCCTCCTGTGACGGGCCCTAATCAGATTGTCAATAATCTAACCATTAGAGCCGTCCATTTGTATAAATAAAGATTTTCCGCTTTCACAGATATCCGCAATTTCAAGGAAAATAGAGCCAACTAGCTAACTTTTAACCTTCGATCGGATATTAAAGTTTTTCAATTCCTTCTACTTCTGAAAAATAGACGATGTTTCTACAAATGTTCTTGTTTCTCTTATTTATTTAATAGCAAGTATTATTAATTAACGATTTTACAATGCCTTTTTCAAACAATGGCAAATTTATGTTAATGCCTCATAAAAAACTCCTGTTAACTTAAATTGCATACAATAACCACTAATTTGTTTACGGTTTTATTGAATATTGATTGATATTTAAGTGGTTGTTTACCACACATGGTTTGAAATCAATATAGGTATTTACATTTAGTGAATTGAACAATTCAATTATTTTTATCGTTTTAAACAATAAAAACAAAACTCCTATGAGTGTTTGCCTTTTAACGAAATTAATAATAGGAAACAGA